TTCCGAGACCTCTTACCATGATGGTGGTGTCTCTCCTGCAAGCACTGGTGGCATGTTTGACAGTTCCCACATTTAGGGGTAGCATGATTAGTGACCCCCACAACAGTCCCAAATTATATACAATTCTCCACATTCCATTCCAACACTGACCCTCCATCAGCCCTGGCTGAATGGGATTTCCATAGCCACACCTCGGATTCTCTCCTGAGCAGTATTTACATGTCAACAGTTAACAGTTAATTACCTTGCAGAGCTAAACAACTGTAGTGGGCACACCCACCCCTCCTTTCAGCTGGCTGACAGCAAGCAGCAGTGCAGCCCCTGCTTACAGACTAACAAAACATATAGATGATATTGTGAGCTTTTGTGGGCAATACCATCTGCATGTTTTGTTAGTCTATATAGTGCTACCAGACCATTTGTTGTTCTTTAAGTTTATCCTGTACAGACTAACTCGGCTACCCCCTGAAGCTGTTTAACAAATATTCATTTATTGGATGGGACAAATCCTCAGCTGTTGTCAACTAGCCTTGAGCCAATGATTTCAGTAAAACTGAAAATTGACGTATCATCTACGTCAGCTGAAGACTGCCCCAAAATGTTTATATTGTATTTTCAGATATTTTACAGTGAGATTGGAAATGGCTGTAAATTGTCATAATTTAAAGTGTGTTCCCTTGGGCAGGGTTCTCAACCTTTTTCTTTCTGAGCCCCCTTCCCTCTCAAACATAATATACAAACTCCACAGTCCATCTGGGCCACAAGTGGTTTTCTGCATATGATAGCCTGGGCCACTGTTAGGGGGTAGCAGTCAGGGCATTTGCAAAGGATCCTACACCATAGGGCACCCCACAACGCTAAGTTGCTCAGGCTTCAACCCCAGATAGCAGGGCTCAGGGCCCCAGGCTTCAGTCCTGCATAGCAGGGCTTACGCTTTATGCCCAAGGCCTACCCAGTCTCACACTGTTCGGCTGCATCTAGACTGGCAAGTTTTTCTGCAAAAGCAGCTGCTTTTGTGGAAAAACTTGCCAGCTGTCTACACTGGCCGCTTGAATTTCTGCAAGAACACTGACGATCTCATGTAAGATTGTCAGTGTTCTTGCAGAAATGCTATGCTGCTCCCGTTCGGGCAAAAGCCCTATTGCACAAATGCTTCTGCGCAAGAGGGCCAGTGTAGACAATGCGGTATTGTTTTGCGCAAAAAAGGCCCGACGGCGAAAATGGCGATTGGGGCTTTCTTGTACAAAACCGCGTCTAGATTGGCACGGACGCTTTTCCGCAAAAAGTGCTTTTGCGGAAAAACATCCGTGCCAATCTAGACGCTCTTTTCCGCAAATGCTTTTAACGGAAAAACTTTTCCATTAAAAGCATTTGCGGAAAATCATGCCAGTCTAGACGTAGCCGTCTTGTTTAGGGAATCCCCTGAAACCTGCTTGTGAGCCCCAGAGGGCCATGGATCCCCTGATTAAGAATCACTGCTCTAAGGTACCTGGGTTTTACTAGAGGGCTAGTCAAGTACTGACTTCCCTGCAGATGAATATCATTACCCTGTCTGTATTTTTAATAATGCAAACCACTATACTGTTAAAGCAAAATACCCCTTAAAATTGTTCCTACTTGGTCTCTGTCCCGAGCATATAGCCTGTAGAGGATACAGTTGCCATTCAGTAGTGAACTACATCCCTGCTCTTCCCCTTGCCCTGCGCCTCTTTTACATCCTAGTATACTCAAGGAGTGGATAGAGGAGGTATCTGAGCCATTAGCTATCATCTTTAAAAGTCATGGAAATCAGGAGAGATTGTAAAAGACTTGAAAAGGGCAAATATAGACACATCTATAAAAAGGGAAATAAGAACAACCCACGAAATTACAGACCAGTCAGCTTAACTGACTGGTGCATAAGTGGTTGGATAACTCTTCTCAGAGAGTAGTTATTAATGGTTCACAGTCATGCTGGAAGGGCATAGCAAGTGGGGTGCCCACAGGAGTCAGTTTGGGACCACTTCCGCTCAATATCTTCATCAACAATTTAGATGATAGCATAGAGAGTATGCTTATTAAATTTGCAGATGATACCAAGCTGCAAGTGGGAGGAGTTGCAAGTGCTTTGGAGGCTAAGGTCATAATTCAAAATGATCTGGACAAACTGGATAAATGGTCTGAGGTAAACAGGATGAAGTTTAATAAGGACAAATGCAAAGCACTCCACTTAGGAAGGAACAATCAGTTTCACACAGAGGGGATGTCTACACAGCAAAGTTATTTTGAAATAACTTTACTAGTGTCTACACAGCAAAACTGCTATTTCGAAATTAATTCGAAATAGCGGAGCGCTTATTTCTAATTTGGTAAACCTCATTCCATGAGGAATAACACCAAATTCGAAATAACTATTTCGAAATAGTACGCCCACACCGAGTGGACGCTGAATCGCATTTAAGGCCAGATGGAACCAGGTCCAGCAGGGCATCAGGTCAGGAGTTACTTTGTGTGGCTGCTGCCTAAGGCTATCTGAGGCCTGTGCTTAAAGGGACTCCCCCTGGACAGCCGGTTCTCAGGTTTCCCTGCTTGCTTGCCTACCTCGACGGGACAGCAAAGCATTTTGTCTCTGCATGCTCTGGTTGCTCTCACTCGGGACACCACAGCACTCTGCAACATGGAGCCAGAGCTGCCCCTGGGCACTTTGGTGCTTCTCTTGGACACATTGCTGTGAGCCTGGCTGCACTTTCTGTGACTGTCTAGGAAGGAGTACTGCAGAAAGGGATCTAGGGGTCATAGTGGACCACAAGTTGAATATGAGTCAACAGTGTGACACTGTTGAAAAAAAAAAAAAAAGCAAACATGATTCTGGGATGCATTAACAGGAGTGTTATGAGCAAGAAATCAGAAGTAATTCTTTCACTCTACTCTGCACCGATTAGGCCTCATTTGGAGTATTGTATTCAGCTCTGGGCACCACCTTTGAAGAGAGATGTGGAGAAATTGGAGAAGATCCAGAGAAGAGCAATAAAAATGATGAAAGGTCTAGAAAACATAACCTATGAGGAAAGACTAAAAGAACTGGGTTTGTTTAGTCTAGAAAAGAGAAGACTGAGAGGGGACATGATAGCAGTTTTCAAGTACCTCAAAAGGTATTACAAGGAGGAAGGTGAAAAATTGTTCTCCTTGACCTCTGATAGGACAAGAAGCAATGGGTTTAAATTGCAGCAAAGGAGGATTAGGACATTAGGAAAAAACTTCCTATCAGAGTTGTTAAACACTGGAATAAATTGCCTAGGGAGGATGTGGAATCTCCATCACTGGAGATATTTTAGAGCAAGTTAGATTGACATCCATCAGAGATGGTCTAGTTGGTGCTTGGTCCTGCCGTGAGGACAGGGGACTAGACTTGATGACCTCTCAAGATTTCTTTCAGTTATAGTACTCTATGATTCTGTGATTCTACATAAAATTGTATTTCTCCTGTCCCTTCCAGCCACAAGGTCCTTCAACATGCTGCAACCCAGTGAGGCCAGTGAATCACTTGTAACAGAGCCAAAGCTCAGCAAATCCCTGCAGAAGGCCAGGATCACAGCCATGTTTGCACACACCGTATGTCGCTCACTCATCCCTGCAGCTCCCTTTGGACTTGCTCTCCCTTTCTGTCTATTTTTGCTTGACCTCACCTCTGCTCTCCAGCAGAACTTCCCAGGTTTCTGATCAATACTCCAGGCAACAATCCCGATTTAGCTATAATTTGTTGTCTGTGACAGCATCACCAATCTTCCTTGAGTCAAATGCTTCCATTCTCTTTGCTGGCTGCAGGCTGAGGACCCGTAGAGAAGACATGATAGTGGCCAATAGAACAAACTCTGGGAACTGTGCTGGCCATGTATTTGCTCAGATACTATGCCCCAGACACTTGGATTGCTTCTAGAAATCAGAAGATTGAGCAAAGTAGCAGCATCTGAGACATTTGTTCTTTCAACCGTCAACATTTTTCACAAAAGCTTTTGTGCCTGGTTTAGTATTTTTTGTATAACTGCTATTAAGAAACAAAACCATCAAGGCTGTCAGTACATCACAGAGCTGACCAGGGCATAGCTGTATTTAGGTCTGCTCCTACTGGCCCTCCTGAACATTTGTGCTCATGCAGGATAGTGGCTGCTTTGCTGCTGAAAGTGCTACCCTGCTCTGAACACACCCAAATGTGAACAGAGAAGGTGTTTTGCTCCTAAGGCTCCTGCTCTTCACAGCCAGAGCATGTTCCATCCCCACAGCCTCTGGATGGTGCTAGTGCATGTCAGTCTTGCCCTTCGGTTATCTACCCACCCACCAGCTCTCAGCAGTGCAGTCTGGCAGTTGGAGGACACTTCATAATCTGGGCTCCTAGGCTGCAGTGCTATGGGCAGCTGGAGGGATGGGGTGCGCAAACACACACCTGTGTGAAATGCAGAGTACAGATTTCTCCAAGACAGATTCTTGGAATTGGATCTGGGACTAGAGCCTGGAATCTGGCTGAGCTGTGCTGTCAGAATCCAGTTGAGCAGGAGAGGGCAAAATGGTGGCTTAAAACCCCCTATATATGCTTTGGTCCCGCATGCACCCAGGGGTCCGTTTGACTCCCAGTGTATCTTAGAGCAGTCTCAAGGTCAATCTCAGCTATGCTGGCTAGAACAGCTCCTAGTGGCCATTCTGCTAGCCCAGGGTTACATACATAGTCCCTTCCAGCCCACACTACCCCTTGACCAGCTCCAGCACCTCTCTTATATAGGAATAGATGACAGCCACTCCTACACAAGGCAAATACCCACCTTCCTTCTTAGTGCTGTTTTCTCTGTCTGAGTCGAGCAAGCCAGCCCGCATAGGCAGAAGGATGTAACCCAATGTGTTCTTACTTCATCTCCCTCTGGTAAATTGCATGAAGGCCTCTTAAAAACCAGCTGTACTGCAAAAACATGAGCTGTGACTCCTATCACTGTTCAGGGTGAGAAAACTGCACCAGCAAATCTTGTGCAGAGCAGCTGCATCTCCACAACACTAGATGTGCCAAACTCGTCAGACCTCGATGCCTGTGTGCCCACTCATGACGAAAAAGGCCACTTGATTCCTGAGTGGAAGCGGCAAGTGATGGTGAGGAAGCTGCAGGCTCGACTGGAAGGAGAAGAAAGCATGGGTAGGAAGGTATGTTACTGAGCTGAGAACTGTTTTTTGTAGGCCGGGTTGGAAAGTCTTTATCATCTTCTTCTTCTTTGTCCTGTTCCTCTCTGCTTCTCCCCAGCTTACACCTTAATTTCTTCTCAGGCATGTCATGCCTTACCTCAGTCCTGAGCTTTAATTGCATGAGATCATTGCACCCCGATTTTCTTTTGCTGATATAGTCACCAGTAAACCATCACAAGGGTTCAACTCACAGTCCCAGCGCAGGGCAGGGCCCAGACCTCCGGATTTAAAGTTCAGCACACAAGGGCTTGCACATAATGGATTTCTGAGGAGCATTCCAGTTCAATTCAAACCAAAATCTTTCTTACCAAAAACAATTTTTCAAAAGGAAAACTCTAAATGCTTATTTCAGTGAAAACCCTGTCTGTCAGAACCATATGATTCAGCGCCAGTGTAAAGACCCAAAGAAATCTACTTGGTCCCAGAATAAGGACTGTGCACTCAGAAAAGACAATGACTTTCAGGCCAACACGCCCTTTGGAACAAGTCACAGAGAGTTTCTCAAGCTGTCTGCAGCAGTGTGTTCCGTTTTGCTATTTCGAAATAGCGTGTCCACACTAAGTGGACCCTGAACCAAAGTTCAGGCTGGCCGGAACCAGTGCTGCAGGACATCAGGTTAGGACTTGAGTGTGTGGGGCTGCTGCCTGAGGCTAACTGAGCTCCGTGCTTAAAGGGACCCGACCCCCACCCCGGATAGACAGTTCTCAGGGTTCCCCGTTTGCTTGTCTACCTTGATGAGGGACAGCAAAGCAGTCCTGTCTTGGAGAGCCCTGAGTGCCCACACTCGGCACATCACAGCACTCAGCCACATGGAGCCAGAGCTGCCCCTGGGCACGCTGGTGCGTCTTGTGGGGTCGGTGCCATTAGCCCGGCTGCACTTGCTGCAGGCTGCCATCTGGGGGCTGTCAGGATCCAGGAGGCCCTGAGGGAGAGCGTCCACCATGAGGAGCCCTCAGAGCCTCCCAGGTCCTCTCCACCGGGGGCTCGTGCCACATTCCTCCCTCATGTCCTTCCACTTACCCCTCTCTAGTCCCCCTTCCTGATGTCAAATAAAAGACACTTGTGTTCAAAAATAGAAACTGAACAAAACTAGGGGTGGGAGGGATGAGCCTCTGGGGAGACTGGGAAAAAGAAGGTGGGAGAGGGGAAGAGAGAGGATGGGAGAGGGGAGGGGGAAACCTGGGAGGAGGGAGCTGGAAGGGGGAAGCAAGGGGAAGAAGGGGGTGGGAAGCTAAGGGCTCAGGATTGGGGGTCTCACCAGACCAACCTGACTTTCATGCAAACCTGCTCCTGGGTTTGCATGTGGCCTTTAGTGGCCAGGCTGGCAGCTATCCTGCCATAGACAGCTGCATTCCTCTATCTAGGGCTGAGATCATGGACGTTGGGGGCATCCACCCCAAACCTGAATAAGGTCCATGATCTCCACCCTGGACCAGGAATACGCCTGCCTTCTCCAGCCCGTCAGGCTCCTGGGAGCTGGCAGACTGCTCCTGGGGAGCAGTGGAGGGCTGGCTGCCAGTGGCTTGCGGGCTCATGTTTTGGGGCCACTGGGTCAGGGGCCCTGGTGGCCACTGCTGGCTCTGAGCTGGCAGGCTTGGAGCTGGCACAGGCACTGTGGCCAGGGTCTATCCCTTTAATGTCTCCAGGGCTGGGGAGAGGAGAGTAAGCTTTCATGGTTGTGCCCAGAGTGGCCACAAGGGCTTCCTGGGAAGGGCTGGAGGCCCCCTATTTCGAATTAAGTGTCTACACAGCACTTAATTTGAAATAGCTATTTCGAATTTGGCGTTACTCCTTGTAGAATGAGGTTTACCAAATTCGAAATAAGGGCTCCACTATTTGGAATTTATTTCGAAATAGTGGTTTGCCTGGGTAGATGCTATTAAAGTTTATTGAAATAACTGCTGTTATTTCAAATTAACTTTGAAGTGTAGACATGCCCTTAGAGGTTTTTAAGGCCCGGCTTGACAAAGCCCTGGCTGGGATGATTGAGTTGGTGTTAGTCCTGCTTTGAGCAGGGGTTTGGAATGGATGAGCGCCGGAGGGCTCTTCCACCCAAATCTTCTAAGATTCTATGATTCAAGGAGGGGTCTAAGACCTGCATGTTAAGGAGGTGGCCCCTTTGTCTTCTTTAGTGGTCTCAGCCTCTCTAATCATCAGTTGCAGGAGCTGTGGGCGTCAAAACTTACATGCACATCCATCATAGCTGGGGTGTCACATGGGGTTTGTGTGTGGAGGGGGGCGTCTCTTGAAGCCTTGGCTCTAGATTACATTAGTGACCTCCTACAGTTTCTCACTTTCTGTCTCCTACATGTAGGGCAGTGGAGGCAGTTCAGTGGAGGTGGGGGACTGGAGGTACTCCCAGACCCACAATGGCATCCTGGGCCCCTTCGGGGAGCTGCTGGCTGAGGATGACATACTTTACTTGGAGAAGCAGATTGAGAATCTACAACTGAGAAAAAGGTGTCAGGAGTGCGAGAGCGAGCTGGGGCGTCTGGCGGAGGAGCTGCAGACTGTCCTTCCTGCCCCCATTGTCAACATCACCATCAACAGCCAGTTCCTGCACCAGGATGGCGAGGCGCTCCCAGACTGGTGCAGCCGCATCTCTGGAGTGGTGAAAAGCATGTCTGTACTGCTCTCTAATGCAAACAGCCTGAGAAAGGAGGAGATGCCAAGCCCTCAAGTACCATCAGAGCCTGCTGAGGGGAAGCACCCTGCCAGTGGCAGCGCAGAGAGGGAGATCCTGGAGTGTGGCGTCTCTGTCAGGAAGCTGAGGGGTAACTTTGAGAAACAAGTTCTCCCAGGCCGAAGAATGGCCTCAGAGCTCCGAGGGGCAGAGGCCATGCCTTGGGAACACTCAGGAGCCTGCTGGCCAGGTGAGGATGTCAGTCCTCAGACACAGTGGAGCACCAGTGAGAACCAGAGAAAACCACTCTGTGAAGATTATGCGTTTCAAGATGCGGAGAATGCCAGTGACTCTGGGGTCTCCTGCAAAGAGGCTTTTTCTGACACGAGCAGGTTTCTTGTCCCAGTGGCAGAGTCCATTAGCCTCAGGAAAGAACGAATAGTGATGCTATTTCTGAACCACTGGAAGAAATCTGCTTATACACCTTCCTTAAAAACCATGGCCAGGAAAACACTGGAGTCCCAAAGGGACAGGAAAATGGGAGAGGTGGAAGGCGCTGCAGTGGTCAGAAAGGAACGGATTCCTAAAGAGAAGCTGGTGGAGGAATTGGGCAAACTGGGCTGTTTAATTCAGCAAAGGAACACCATCAAGAATCTGATAAGCAACTGGAAAGACATCATCTCTCAGGTGCCCTCCCCGCAGATCCGGCCCCTCAACCGCCACCAGGCTGTCTATTCCCCAGAGCAGTTCCTTCCCTGCATCAGAGGGGTGGCCACTGATTACAACAGCCTAACCCTTGACCTCTTTATGCTCGGCTACTTCCACATCCTGGAGCTGGACCTTCCTCAGGAGGAACGCAAGATGAGGCACCTGCTGTGCTTTGAGGTGTTTGACCACTTGGGTCGACATCGCTGGGAGACTGTGCGAGCCTTCCACAAGGCCGTGACTGATGAAATCAGTGCTGGCAAGCGAGGCTGGAAAGACAGCTTTGAGGACATTAAGATCAGGTTTTTTGGTAATGCCAAGGACCCTGCCAGGGAGCTCAAACCAAGAAGAGAGTCAGCGGAATGCGCTCTAAAGCCAGTGTCCAGAGTTGGGCTCCAGAGCACTTCTCTCAAGCAGCGAGGACATGATCCAGGAAACTCTTCTGAGCTTGGCAGCTTCAGCAGCAATGAGATCTGCAGGTACATTGACCGCAGTTTTGCCTTCTGGAAGGAGAAAGAAGCCGAGATCTTTGACTTTGAGGAATTGCACACGTTAGAACTGCCTTCCCAGGCTTTGAGTGAATGAGAGCTTGTGGGGCTGGATTGCTCCCAGAACATCTAGCTTCTCCTCCTCCCCATCTCTCAAACACTGCAATGAATAAGCTTTGAGGGGCTCAGAAACTCCACATGCAGCAGACTGCCTGGGCTGAGGGAGAGATTTCAAAACTAGCAGGATGATTTTCAAAAGCACAGATATTAATTAGGTACCCAGCTCCTATTGTACTTCTGACAATCTCCTCCAAGGCTCTTGGCCTATTCAGGTATTAAGGTGGAATGCCTCTTCTTTTCCAATCAGCTGCCATCTCTTAAATAAGACAGTTCTCCACCTATCCCCTACACCCCAGGCCACCCTCCTCTGCTGTGTGAGCAGGCCAGGATTAGCTGTTACATCTCTCGCTGGAGACTCTCCCACGATTGTTCATCTGCACAGTATGACCTTAAACCTTGTGGAAGCAGAACCTGCCAAAGGGCTGCCCTCTGCACAAACACTCACAGACTCTGGTACTGTGGGATACCTTGACAAGTACAGGGAGCATCAAAGGACAAAGTCAAGGGCAATTAGCAATGCCAGCCAAGGAAATGATTGGCAGCAGGACAGACTGCACTGCCATAGGAAGGCCAGCAGAGATTGATGGCTCTGCATACGTCTTCCTTGCTGTCTCCGGGTCTGCGCAGAGACTGACATGGCCTGCACAGGCAGGCACATGTGGAGCACCTGGGGCAATGGAAAGTGCTGTGATGAGCTCAGGAGAGGAGCTGTGGGTCATTAAAGCCGAGCAATGCTCTGGCCTGGGGAGGATCTGTAATAGGCAGCAGGCAGGAGCGGGGAGTTCCAGGGAAGCAGGGGAGGGAGCGGCTCAGGTAATCTCTAGCTTGTGCTTCAAGCATCATTCTTGACTCAAGCAGGAGGTGCCCCTCTTTTTTGTGAGTGGGGGGTGCATCATCTCACCAAGGGCCTCAAAGGGAGGACATAAATGGCAGGTGAGCCACAAGTCAGGCACCAGAAATGGGCAAAGTTTACAACTAAGGGACTGTGGATGCTTGTGAACCAGTGCTGGGACTGGGTCCAGTTGTCTTCTCATTTACACATGTAAGCAGGGTCCGAATGCTCTCCCGTGGCAGCTCTCCTGTGGCAAGGGAGAGACTTCAGGAGCAAACCTTCATGACCACACCTAGCGATCCAACAGACAGAGCTGTGTGGCTCAAAGTGATCAACTCTGGCTGGTGTTGGGTTACAGATCGCGTAATATTGACTACAGGGCAGTGAAATGCTGTTATCAGTGTTGATATCTTTATCGTATAAATAACGGGGAGCTGGGCTGTGCTTAGCCTGTCCCAAATGGGGTGGTCACCCTCAGCTGAAATAGTCTCATTAAGCCTGCAGCTCGAATGCCAGAGCCCTGTGAAAATAAGAGAGGTCCCAGCCAGGTGTGTCCTCTCCCTAAGGATCCCTAGTCTGGTTTAATCTGCTCCTTCTCACTGTTCAAGCATAGGGCTAAATAGGCATAGAGCCCTGTAAATCTGCAGCTATCTGCTTTATATCCACAGGTATCCATGGATGTGGATCCTGGTAGCAGCAGCTCATTTTTGTGGATACAGATGCGATGCAGATGCAGATACAAATTTTGTGTCAGCACAAGGCTCTATTATTAGGAATACAGAACTCACTTATGGAGGGACAGTGTTCCCATCCAGCCTGCTGAGAGTTAAAAATCATTGAGACTACATCTACACTATAGCTGGGATCGATGGAGTGGAGATCAATGCATCAGTGGACGATTTAGCGGGTCTAGTGATGACCCACCGGATTGACCACGGATTCTCTCCAGTTGATCCCATTACTCTATCCTGAATGAAAAGGGTCAGGTAAGTCGGCAGGAGAATGTCTCCCATTGACCCCCAGATGGTGTAGACACTGCAGGTTATCAACCTAAGGTACACTGACTCTAGCAACATTATTCACATAGCTGAGGTTGTGTACCTTAGGGGCAACTCCCTGGGGTAGTGTAAATGTAGCCTGACAGACTGACCTACAGAAGTCACAGCAGAGGCAGGGGGCAGCAGGAGATGACTGATGGGCAGCCAGCGAAAGTGGAGAGCAGTTGGTCAGTGGAAGTGGCCAAAAGGAGGCAGCGAGGAACAGCAGTTAGTAGGGCAGCCAAGCAGTAAGGAGCAGCAGCTGATGAGGAGGCCAGCCACAGCAAGTGCTCAGATGGCAGAGCAAGCAAGGTGCCTTCTTCTCAGGGTGGGAGAGGAATTCATATGGACACACCTCTGAACCCTGGGTTCTCACTGACCAAGGACAACTGCTATGAGTGGGAGATGGTTGGGATATAAAGGGGGCTTAGAAAAGGAACTTTGGTTGTAGAACTTGGAACTTGAGGCAGAAGGCTCTGCCCCATTGACTCTAGACCAAGGGTATGTCTAGACTACAGGCTTTTGTTGACAGAGGCTTTGTCGACAGATACTGTTGACAAAGCTTCTGTCGACAAAGAGCATCTAGACTACATCCAGTTGTCAACAAAGCAAGCCACTTTGTCAACATGAGAGTGTAGACGCAAAGGACAGTGTAGATGCAATAATGCCTTCTGTCGACAGAACTCTGTCGATAAAAGGTGTTATTCCTCGTAGAATGAGGTTTACCGCCATCGACAAAACTGCCGAATTCTGTTGACGTTATGTCGACAGAACTTGGTGGTAGTGTAGACAGGTATAGTTTTGTCAACAAAAGTCTAGTTTTGTCGACAAAACCCTGTAGTCTAGACACACCCCAAGCCTCAAAGATTTAGGTTTATTAATCTGCTTGGGGCATTTCCCCTAATTAATGTTGGATGACTTCCTTCCTTTCATTCTAAGTTTCTTTTCACTCTCAGACTCTGTGCTTGTGAGTGCGGAAGCACTGCCTCTCAGAAGTTGGTGGTGAGTAATTTGCCCAGGTGAGGGTTGTATTGTTGAAAAGGACACCCTAGTTATAGTACTTGGCCCTCGTTGCACCTGGCAGAAGGGTTATACACATAACTGCAGTGACTTTGGTGAGGTGACTCCTGTCTTCCAACAGAGCGAGAAAGGAGAAACCTGTCACTTCATGACCATATTACCTCCCTAGCCTGCATGAGTAAAGATTCTGTAAAGATCAAAAATCCCCAGTGATCACTTGAGTGATTCCTTAGCATTCAAAAGTAGGTAACTAGATGAGCAGAAAACAGCACGTATTTACTGAAATACTCCAAAAGAAAGAATCTCTTTGTCTTGATACTGTGTCTCCTGTTACGATTACAGATTGACGCGTATCTTTCATTTTATGCTTGTTTCTTTTTAAAAACCTCAGACTTGTTCTTTGTCTAACTTTTTAAATAGTAATTATTTTTCTGTGGACTGAGGATTAATAAACAGTTTTCTGTCTCATTGAGATCATCTCGCCTTTTCTTGACATTTCATTGAATTGGGTTAGTTCCTTTGGGAACAGCTCACCGAAGGGCTGGGCCACCTTGCGCTGCCTGGCAGTTTTTGAGACTGAAAGTCTCTCTTGGGACAGGCGAGCGTAAGCCCAAGTTCTGGGTGCGGGTCTCTGGCTTGTGTTTTGTAGGTGGTCAGACTAGATGATTGCAATGGCCTTAGAAGCTCTGGGGCTATGAAATTCTGAAGTTTTGTGATTATGGGCCAGAGAAGAGGGAGGAAAAAGCTGCCCAGATGTCCTGGGAAATACGTAGATATCAGTGAGCACTTGGAAGAGTCCCAAAGTAAGGCCATTGGCAGGATCTCTACTCCCCAGCCAGATCTGGGTATTCTGAGGAACCACACCCGATTCTGCTCTCTTTAGTCAGTTCTACTCTGTTGTACTGTCAAGTCACTTACACCAATTCCTGATTTACCCTGTTACATGTGACCCTAGACTTAGGATCCCTGGTGGGCCCAAGCCCACCCACATCTAAAGGACTCCCCCCAGCCTACGGGGAGGGTCCACAGAGCCCAGAAAAACCAACTAATTACTTGGGACAAATAAAGAGAAAACAGGGACGGGTGTGAGGGTCAATGGGCTAAAACGAGGGAACTGGATGGTGACACCGAGCAGAGAACCCCAGACAGCATCCACTGCCCCTCAAAGGTCTCGAGAGAGCCAGCCGACGCCGCCCAGTGGAACTCTGCCCCGATACGTGAGCGGATGCAGGAACGGAAATAGACCTCACAGTCGCAGGCCCCTTCCTTGGCCAACTTCTGCTCCTTGGTTTTGTAAATTGCCATTGTGGCCATAGCCAGGAGGAGGTTGACCAGGAGGTCCTGCGACTTTGTGGGGACACAGATGGGGTGTGCATAAATTAACAGGTGAGGGGAGAAATGAATCCAGAACCTCAACAAGAGGTTCTGGAGGAGCCGAAAGAGGGGCTGTAACTTGGCGCACTCGAGGTAGACGTGTGCCAGGGTCTCCCTCCCGCCACAGAAGGGGCAAGTGTCAGGAACGGGGGTGAGCCACGCCAAGTACATGCCCGTGCTCACCACACCGTGCAGGATTCTCCAACTGATGTCCCTGGTGGGCCGTGGAACCAAGGTCAAATAGAGACTGGCCCACTGGGGCTCTCCACCCTCTATTGGTGATAGGAGGTCGCGCCACTTGGTGTCTGGGCGGGACACGAGGGTGGGGAAGTGGAGCGTGTTAAGCACAAGCGTGTACAGGTGAGTCTTTGGTGTGGTTCGGAGGGGGACCAGCTGCAATGTGTGCAGCCGACTCGGGTGATGAGGGGGAGGCGGTCAGGAAAGTACGCAGAGCTGGGGGCCGACGGAGAGATCAGGAGGGCCAGGGGTGAGAGGTGGGCGGGGTGCACCTTCTCGCAGGACCCTGTTTAGGTGCACCCGAGCTGTGGGCAGCAAAGCGTCCTTCACCTCCAGAAGTACGCACCGGGGAATATATAAGGTGGAGATCCCCATGCGCTAGGCGAGTGTCGGAGGATCCACCCAGTCTCCCCAGTCGTAGTCCAGGAGGTCTCCGATCTAGGTGACTTCTTCCAGGACCAACCTCTGGAGCACCGAGTGCTGTATGAGTGCTGGAGGATCCACCCAGTCTCCCTGGGCATAGTCCAGGATGTCTCTGATCCTGGTGACTTCTGCCAGGACCAACCTCTGGCGCACCGAGGGGGATTCCGCCACCTGCAAATGTAGATGGGGATTGTGTAGCAGGGGCTTCGCGAGGAGGTCCACCCCCATGGTGGTTCCCAAGGACCTGGTCGCCACAAGCAGCTTCCAGGTCCGGAGGAGGTCCTGGTAGAAGGCCGACAGCCTGGAGAGGTCTCATGGAAGACCTCTCAAATAAAGGAGCTGCCGGTCATATCGGAGTCCTTGGCAGCGGCGAAGGAAAGTGTGCGCAAATGTGCTCCATGCCGGACTATCTGCATCAAATAGGAGTCTCTGCAGGGCCCGGAGGCAGAGGACATGAACCTGTGTGTGCAAAATTGCTAATGAAGCGTGAGATTTAAATATCCTGCACTTAATTAGCATAATCGCGTCCAGCCGCCATTTTGAAATTGCATTATTGCGAAATAAAACGCCCCGTGTAGCAGCGTTATTTCGAGAGAAAACCCCTCTCTCGAAATAACTGTTAAACCTCATTGTATATGGAATAACAGTTATTTCGAGAGAAGGGTTTTCTCTCGAAGTAACGCTGCTACACAGGGCGTTTTATTTCGCAATAATGTGATTTCAAAATGGCAGCTGGACATGATTATACTAATTAAGTGCGGGATATTTAAATCCCGCGCTTCATTAGCAATTTTGGTACACTACATTTGAATCCCTATCTCGAAATAGGGAGCAAGTGTAGATATACCCTCTGAGACTTATTTGGGTACTGCTGGAATAATGCTGGGTAATTCAGGCTGTTCTCAAGAGAGCACATGAAAGGTTTGAGGTGAAAATCTTTAAAAAACACGTCCACAAAAAGCAAAGCAACAGCTGGCAATGAGCTGCGAAGAGTGAGACTGCAGGCAGGCTGGCAGCATTGCTGTTGCTGTACGTGTCCTTGTTACAAAAAAAGGGGACCTGTGCCCTCCAGTGTCTGTGCCACTCATGATAAGCTTGGAGCTGCAGTGAGATCACTCAGCAGTCTATTATTGGTGTCTGGATCACAGTCATTTGCAACACCATTTCAATGAAGAATGAAAGAAAAGATCTCTGCTGTGTTAGAGAACTCTAGCTGTGGCACAATCAAGTGTGAAGAGCAGTGGTGGACAATGGGGTTCTGTGTGTGGCCCATGAGGCATTTTGTTTACCGTTGTCCACACGCAGAATTGCCAGATGTTGCTGGTCTTGGTCTGCATAGGGTTTTTTTCCTACTGGTATTAGAAAAGTGCCATGCACTTAAAGCAGGGGCATGTGAAGTGTGTGCAGATTGTGAGAGCTGTGCACTCCTGCATCCTATCGAAGAGCTGCTATGGTTCAGTCTGCACACAGCTCAAATTCTAGGTACACAAGCACAGGTAGCAAAATTACCCTATTCCAGGAGACTGGGACAACAATCTTGTGGCTAAGCTTTGTCCCCCCAGAGAACAGTGCTGTGTGCTGTCACCGCTCCCCTGGGCATTTCAGTAGTTCTGGGGACAGCCAGCCCAGGCAGTCCTGGGGCAAGGCGCTCTGTCACACTGGACTCAAGGAGGCAGGTGAGAGGCACACCAGAGCTGGCCTGGGGACAGAGCAGTCATTTAGCTGTGAGGCTGCCTTCCAAAAGCCAGCAAAGCTCTACTTACATAGCCCCACCTCTGCCTTCTTCCACTCCCTGGCCCCTCTCTCCTTGACGTGTCACTTTAAGAGCAGGTGGCCTGGAGAGAATAACTGTCAAGGAACGTCCCACCTCCCCCACCCCACAGGCAGGCTGCCCTCTAAAAATAACCCCCCTGGTCTCCAGCCAGGCTCTCCCTGCACTGTGCCACTCCAGAGTGCTGCGCTCCCACGGCTGGGAATCCAGCTGCCCTGCACTCTCTCCAAGCCCCGCTGTTTGGTCGATCGATTGGATGGGCAGAGGCACTTCAGGGGCAGCTGAGAGGTAAGCTGGGATGGCCAGCACTGGGAAGGTGCTGATGGAGCTGGTGCCTGGGCTTACAGCGCTGCACACAGAATGTGGATAACTGCTCCCTTCTCAGTGCTCATACTGCAGGGAGCCATCCAGAGTGGGCTGTTCTCTCCATGCAGCACCATAGGAGTCACCCTTCCGCCCTCCCCACCAACCCTTCTCTCCAGTGTCAGGAATGGGTGCAGGCTCCTTAGCTCCCAAGATCACCACCACTGCCATGTGATCTCTGTGGGAAAGGTCTCGGGGGAGTGTGCAAACGCCTAGTGGGATTTGGAGTGTCACAAGACAAGGCTTGAGGGAGAGAGAAGGAAAACAGGAGATTCTGGGAGATTGTATTAGGCCAGATTCTCAGATGATGGAAATTGGGGTAGGATCGTTGTAGTAATGGCCAGTGGCCAGGGCGACACGGGGCTTAGGTCTGACATGCTAGAGAAGAGGGTGCCCGTGCAGTGCCTAGCAGATTGCAGTGTGTCTACCTGCTGCTCTTATGCACATGCTAATAATACACTGATTTACACCAGCCAAAGTTCTGGTCCATCATGTAGTCTACAAGAGTGCGTCAGGGTGTGCCCACGAGCCTGGAATGTCTGGAGTCGTGCTCCCGGGAGGAGGGTGGGGAGATGAGTGCACTGATACACAACTCGCAGACGCACTTGTCATCAGCCCTCCTGCCTATAAGCCATTTGGGAGACTCAGCCCAATGGAGAGAGCTGCTACTGACATTCCCTCCAGGATATCCAGCTAATCATTCCTTCCCCTCTTTCAGTGCTTATTAAACAGGGTGCAGTTTCCAAGTAAGAGCCCTAAGAGCTTTGCCAGAGGATAGCACCATGGTGAGGAACATTGATGACTTCGATTTCTCGCTCCCATCCCACCCCCAGGCCATCCTGGAAGGCCTGCGGAGCCTGCGCTCCAATCCAAAGCTCTCCGATGTCACGCTGCTTGTAGATGGGCATGAGTTCCCCTGCCACCGTAGCATCCTGGCCCTCTGCAGCCACTACTTCAATGCCATGTTCACTGGTGACTTCATTGAGAGCATCTCAGCCCGTGTGGAGATCAAAGAGGTAAATCCTGTTGTCATGGAGACTCTGATTGACTTTGCTTATTCAGGAAGGATCACCATCAACCAGGGGAATGTGGAGGCACTGATCCAGACCTCCAACCAGCTCCACTTCCCCACCATCCGGAAAGTCTGCAGCCGCTACCTGAGGCAGCAGATGGATGTGACCAACTGCTTGGGCATCTGTGAGTTTGGGGAGAACCATGGCTGCCCAGAGGTGTCTTCAAAGGCTTGGGCTTTTCTGCAGGAGAACTTTGAGGCTATCTCACACCAGGAGGAGTTCCTTCAGCTGTCTAAGAAGAGGCTAGTAGTCTACTTGTCCAATGACTTGCTGCAGATACAGGAAGAGCAGAGCCTAGCCGAGGCCGTGCTTAGGTGGGTGAGGTACGAAGAAGCATCTAGAGCTAAGCACCTGCCGGAGCTCCTAAACCTGGTGCACCTGGTTTCCCTACCTGACCAGTACCTACAGAACTTGCTTTCACTGGAGCCGCTGATCCAGGATTCGGAAGCTTGCAAGGCTGTCATCTCCAAATACAGGAGCACGGTCAGTGCTGTCAGGCAGGGGTGGGAAACCTAAGGCCCAAGGGCCGGATGCGGCCCCTGGCTTGCCTGGATCCGGACCCCGAGGCTCATTCCCCTGTGGCATAGGGAGACCCATGCTGGTACTCCAGGCACCTCACTCCTGCTCCCTCTCTGCAGGGCTGGAGTACACAAAAAGTCTACTAGCCTGGTCCCTCCTAAGCTCTGGACTGCAAGGGGCGCGTGGAGAATCTTTCTCCTTTGCAGTCAGGGGCCATGTCAGTGAGGGTTTGTTTGGGGGTTTTTCCTTCTTACTTGTGGGTGGCCCCCAACTGATTTTTCCTTGGGCCAGCAACCTCCAAGCCAGAAACAGTTCCCCACACCTGCTGCAAGGGTTCAGAATGGCCTTGTCTAGATGGAGCTTCTGTCCTGGAGGGATGTGCCCAGTGGGAAATGATCTGCATCACTGCCCAAGAGTCAGGCAGGCACAAGAATCCAGTGCAAGCCCAAAGCCACGACAAATCATCTCTGTAGCCAAACCTCTTCCAGATAAATGCAGAAATCCAATGTAGGCTCTGCAGGAGCTGTACCCCAATCCATTCCCACTCACCTAGCTTGTCTGCATGGATAGGGTCCACCAGTTTTAGTCACAACACTATAGCCCCTTTCGAAGACACCCCTAGTCTGGTAGACGAATGGCCTTTTTTTGGTTTAGTTCAATCTCCTGTCCAAGTTTAGTAACAGAGGTGTAGCCGTGTTAGTCTGGTCTGGCTGAAACAAAAGCCAGGACTATGCAGCACTTTAAAGACTAACAAGATGGTTTATTAGATGATGAGCTTTCGTGGGCCAGATCCACTTCCTCAGATCAAATTGTGGAAGAAAATTGGCACTACCATATATACCAAAGGGATACAATCAAAAAAGCGAACACATATAAAATAGACAAATCAGATTTTAGAACAGCGGGGGGGTGGGGGGAGAGGTGAGTGTCTATGAGATAATGATATTAGAGGTGATAATTGGGGAAGCTATCTGTGTAATGGGTAAGATAATTAGCATCTTTGTTAAGGCCCATTCGTAAGTGTCTGAGAAGTTTGTCCAATATACATAGCAGACACTTCGCCAAAGAATCAATGCACACAAAACAGACAGACAGACAGTTTCACAAAGAAAAAACAGTTTCTTGCCATTTCAACCAGATGGGGCATTGTCTCAACGACCTGACTACATGCATACTGCTTCAAAGAGACTTTAACACAAGACTTCAAAGAGAAGCCTCTGAACTGTCATTCATGCTTAAATTTGACACTGAATGAGGAGACAAATCAGATCAAATAACATAAGAACGGCCAGACTAGGTCAGACCAATGGTCCATCCAGCCCAGTATCCTGTCTGCTGACAGTGGTCAATGCCAGATGCCTCAAAGGGAGTGCACAGATCCCTCCCTTGTCACCATTTCCAGTCTCTGCCAAACAGAGGCCAGGGACACTTTTCCTACCTATCTTGGCTAACAAGTATTGATGCAGCTATCCTCCATTAATTTATCAAGGGTTTTTTTTGTACCCTGTAAGACAACATAGCTCTCTTGGTACCTGCATCCTGAAATGTGGTGAGTGGGGTGCATTTCACAGAGCAAAGAGATAAGTAAAGAACAACAAATGGCCTGGTAGCACTTTACACACAAGCAAAACATGTTGATGGGATCATAAGCTTTCATGGGCACAGCCCACTTCTTCAGATGATCGGAGTAGGATCCCCTACTAATACTCCGGTCATCTGAAGTGGGCTGTGCCAATGAAAGCTCATGATCCCATCGACGTGTTGTGTTAGTCTGTAAAGTGCTACCAGACCATTGGTTGTTTTTTTCTGTAACAGACTAACTCGGCTACCCCCTGAAGCTCCTAAATAAGTAAAGGTCACTCTGTTCACTTGTTTGGATAAAGAAAAGTTATTTATTAGTTCCCTAAATAGAAGAACTAGAGGACACCAAATGAAATTAATGGGGAGCAGGTTTAAAACTAATAAAAGAAAGTTCTTCTTCACACAGCGTGTAGTCAACCTGTGGAACTCCTTGCCAGAGGAGGCTGTGAAGGCTAGGACTATAATAGAGTTTAAAGAGAAGCTAGATAATTTTATGGAGGTTAGGTCCATAAAAGGCTATTAGCCAGGGGATAAAATGGTGTCCTTGGCCTCTGTTTGTCAGAGGCTGGAGAGGGATGGCAGGAGACAAATCGCTTGATCGTTGTCTTCGGTCCACCCTCTCTGGGGCACCTGGTGTTGGCCACTGTCGGCAGACAGGATACTGGGCTAGATGGACCTTTGGTCTGACCCAGTACGGCCGTTCTTATGTTCTTAACTTTCCCCCTCTGTCCAACAACGCAGACGTGTTAGTTTGGTTCAGATGTTTTATCAAAAGGCAAAACTAGAACCACCATCCAGAGCAAACATCCACTTGGATCACCCCAAGGAAATCTTGGTGACTAGAGACAGACCTTGGCAGCAGACTCCAGCTCTATTGATGCTGGAGGGGAGAAAATTCCAGCAACGAGGGCACTCCACAACCAGACTGTGTGCCCACCTAACCTTCACTGCCATGCTGACATATACCGAGGGGAGGGGATCTGTCTCCTAAGACCCAAGCCTTAGAGATCGTCTAAAGTGCTACAATTGCCTCTGACTCTAAAATAAATATTAGCTGCAAATTCACCTCAGACAGACAACAAAAACTTAGGCTGGGTTCTTGTGCAGCCTGGGGAACAAATAGATCAGTTCTATGGCTGAAAGCCTGGGCTTCACGGGAAGGGACTAATGCAGTATATTAATGCCATGCAGCTGAGTTGCATCCTCGGAGGCTTTTCAGGCTTGCCACAGCAGCATTACTCCTGCAGTAGCTGCTTCCTAAGTAGGGAAGCGTCCTTTGATGGACAGAAACAGTAATTTCAAGCTGATGTTCTCTTTGTGAGGAGTGCAGAGGGTGGAGGTCAGGGAAGCGCAGAACACGCTGTGAGAGCAGGCCTAGTGCCATTCTAGAGCCCAGAGGATAGGTCTGACTGCAATATCCCTGTCCCATAGCCTCTGCCAAGTGTGCCTGTCCAGGAGAATGATGGGTTTTTTATCTCCCATAAGGTGGAGAATAGGCCTTTTGTCCAGATGAGCCTGCTTGCCCTTCCACAGAAGCTGGAGGAAGTGCTGGTGGTGGTCGCAGGTCGAGCTTTGGAAGAGAACGAGGGGGAGGAAGTGGAGCTGCCGATCTCCCAGAACTTCTCCTTTTACAATCCTAAAACCAGTAAGTAAGGAAAACCGTGCCTCAGTCCTGGCCTGGCCCCGTGTAGGCCTGTATCTGGTGTAGCCCTCCCTCATAGGCTTGCCAGATGGCTGAAAGAAAAATACCACACACACCCCCAAAAAAAACCCACTGGGAAAAAATTTTGTTGCAGGAAAAAAAGGGGGGGGGGGAGAGACCAAAGTTGTTGAGCACAAAAAAAAACCAAAAAAACCCCCACCAAACACACACCCCTCCGAGAACCTGGATCACTGCTAGGGGTTACCAGGTAACCATCAAAACAAAACCCGAACACGCCTGGGGGCAGGAGGACCGGACTGGCCAGGAAGCTGGGCCTGGAAACAGCTAATGGGGGGGAGGGGCAATGGGGCTGGCTGAGGGAAATGGGAGGGCCAATGGGAAGCAGGGCTGGTCGTGGGGTGGGGAGGGGGGTCAGGC